AACAACAACAACAACATGTGTTTATTGGTTATCACGAGGGCTTCTCTAGATTATTTGATAGTTCCATTTTGGTTGTATGAAATCAATGGTGAAAGTGTTTTAAAATTTACATATAAGATCTTTATAGAGGAGTCCTCGTGGCACAGTGATTAAAGTGCTTGGCTGATAACCAGAAGGTTGATGGTTTGAACCCACTAGCCACTATGTTGGATAAAAATGTGGTAGTTTGCATCTGTAAAAATATTTTTTGTTCTTGTTAAGTGCTATTTAGTCAGTTTTGACGAGTAGTGACACAAGGTACATCACAAAGAAATCCTGCCCAGGCCTGTACCATCCTTAACAATTGCTGCTATTCTTGCACCAATGGTTACAGCCACTGTGTCAATCCATCTTGTTGAACGTCTTCCCCTTTTGTGCTGACCCTCTACTTTAAAAACACGGTATCCTTCTCCAGGGACTGGTCCCTTCTTGCAACATGACCAAAGTATGAGAGGCAAAGTCTGGCCATTCTCACTCCTAGGAGCATTCTGGCTGTACTTTACTTAATTCAAGACAGATTTGTTCCTTTTCTGGTAGTCCATGGTATTTTCAATATTCTTGTTCAACATTATAATTCAAATGTATCAGTTATTCTTTGATCTTTTTTTCATTGCCCATCTTTCACATGCATATAAGGCTATTGGAAAGACAATGGGTTGGTTCAGGGGAAAAAAAAAAGAAGATTTACAACCTTGGAAAACCAATAAGGCAGTTCTACTCTGTCCTTACATGGTTACTGTCAGTTGGAATCAACTCAATGGCAGTGAATCTTTTGGTTTGAAGGTCTTTCCCAAGTCTTAAAAGAGGAAAAGACAAAAACTAATCTATTTACTGCATCCCAGACTGGAGGCAGCATGACAGAGTGCATAGAACACAGGCTTTAGCATTTGTAATAGTAATAGCCCCTTAATTCTGCCATTTATTGGGTATATGACCTTAGTGAAGTCATTTTAAGTTTATTCATTTGTTTCTAACACAAATGTTAGCAGTGTCCCCTCTATGCTTTGAATTACAAATGAAGTGCAGCCTAGTCCCCATTGCCTGTGATTGCCTAGGACTCACATTCTCATGGTCATTATGGCTTAAATTTCTGACTCAGAGTGCCTCCTCCTGAGTTTTTTTACACCTGGAACTCTCAATCTCATTTGCATTAAATTTCCTACAGATATTTTTTCCACTTTGCATCACACTCACCCTTATTTTGGATTCTAACACTTTTGTTTATTTTTCCCAAAATTTCTTAAATAATTTTTATGTGCAGCAGATTATAATGAAATTTGGGACAATGGAAAAGTTTTACTTCACATTGATGAAGAAAAACACAACAATGTAAAATTCAACAGTACCATATTTTATGCAAATAATATGCCCATTATACATTTTTTGCCAGCCATACCAACCTGCCTGTGCATTACTTTTGTTAAGAGCATCATGCTTCATGTTATATGTGTGGGTACATTATTTTGTGGGTGCATGTTACATGTCTGGGTGTATTATTTATGTGGGTGCATTATTTGCAAAAATATACAAATAAACCTTCCTATTCTTTACATTTCTTTAGCCACTCTGTCAGAGTAAAATTGTCATGGATATTATTCTCTGCTGTTTACGGTTTTACCCTTGTTTTTCTCTGTATATACTCTTCACTTCGTTGCTGCTGCTTCCTCTTGTCTTTCACCCATAAATGTCTATTAATTTCTTAAATATGTATCATTTATATATTTTTATTGTCTTCCTTAAATCCATGGCCTTAAGATCATCTCATTTTCCACTATCAAGTCACCAAGTGGTTTATAATTATTCTTCTAAACAAAGATATTTTCCCCCTAAAAAGAAGCTAATGGAGGTAACTTTAACTACACACTATGTTATTGAAGTTTAGTTACCAATCTCTCCAACTAAACCCCTCATACTTTACAATTTGCCACCCTACTTGTTTCTGACAATGATCAATTATATAAAATCTTTTATAAAATGTGAAACAAGATAATAGAAGATACCATCAGGATGATGATGATGATCATGTTACATGTTATGTAATATGTGATATCTTCCCTTCTTTTTTACTGTCCCTTCCAATGACCACCAGAATCTCTTTAAAATCCACAGCTGCCAGAGCTGAAGTGTGTAGCGGCACAGGGGAACGGTTTCGAATCTTCCGTGCTGAAAAGACCTATGCTGTGAAGGCAGGAAGGTGGTATTTTGAATTCGAGGCTGTCACTGCTGGAGACATGAGAGTTGGCTGGAGCAGGCCAGGTTGTCAGCCTGATCAAGAGCTTGGCTCAGATGAACATGCTTTTGCTTTTGATGGCTTTAAGGTGAGTGAAGTTAGTTGTGCACTAGGCATCACATTTTTAGGCTCCAAATTTTGGAGGCTATTGTGTCCCAGGCATAAAGATGTTGTAGTCTTCCATGAAGAAATTTGCTTTAAGGTATTTGGGTATGTGATAATTTGTATAGGAAAACATTTCTAGACTAGAAATTAGTATTGTGTTTTTGAGAATCAAACTCACTTTGTTCTGAAACATTATATTTCCTGAATCCTGTTTTATTACTATTATTATTATTATTATTATTATTACAACAGATGGAATTAACACCTTTTGATGAGTAATTTAATTTTTAAAAGAATACACTACTATACTTGAGAAGAATATCATTATTTTCCAATAAAAATTGATATAATCAATTTGATACCTATACACTGTTGTTGTTGTTATGTGCCATCGAGTCAGACCTGACTCATAGCGACCCCTCCTTGGGTTTCCAAGGCAGTATCACTGCAGAAGTAGATTGCCCAACCTTCCTTCCGAGGAGTGGCTGGTGGGTTTGAACCGCCAGCCTTCTGGTTAGCAGTCAAGTGCCTTAGGGAACTACACTACCAGAGCTCCTACCTATACACTAGTTTTGTATAATTATAGGCACAAAAGTCATATTTATCAAAACTATTTCAAATGTATAAAATGCATATGCATACATTATACATATGCATTTATATATATACATCTATATTTATATATGCATATAGTTATAATGCATATTATATTTATATTATAGTTACAGTATAACTATAATATAAATATAATATATTTATAATATATATTATAGTTATAATATAAATAGGAGATTTCATCTATGTATATAAAAATGTGTTTGCATGTGTTTTCAATTCTTAGCTTTTTGTTTAAATAAATACCTTAATATTTTAGGTTTGATCAGAAGCCATTTTCATATTGGTATATAGCCAAAATGCTTCTGATTTTTTTTCCCCAAATATCAATGTTATTGGGCCCAAGGAATACAGTGTCCTTTTGAAATAGATGAAAATTAAAATGTCATTTTCAACAGTAAACTCCTAGCTTGGTTCCCAGCTCCTACTTCTTTGTGTTTGTGGAAGTAGAGAGAAATAACCAATATCCTGGTATGCATTCATTGTAACAAGAGAAGAAAATTCTAAATTCTTTTAATAGAAAGTATTTGGGGTTAGATTTTATAAATGATATTATCTCAGTAGTATGAAAGAGTATTTGGTTTTTCTCAAGATTCAGTACCATACTGTGTTAATATTAAGTATTTAAAATTCCCAGACAACTCTGTGTCACTTATGGCATTGCACTAGACTGATATGGTGGCAAGACCTCATCCTACAGCCATGCTGATAGAAGAATCTAATGATGAGTCATCCTGGTGAGTGGTGATTAGGTGCTATTCTCCAGGCTTACTCATGATAAGTGGGTCTTCTTTCCTCTTAGGCCCAGCGGTGGCACCAGGGCAATGAGCATTATGGGCGCTCTTGGCAAGCAGGAGATGTGGTAGGGTGCATGGTTGACATGAATGAGCACACCTTGATGTTCACACTGAATGGGGAAATCCTTCTTGATGATTCTGGCTCAGAATTGGCTTTCAAGGACTTTGAGGTTGGTGATGGTAAGTATTACCATCATTTTTTGTTGAGGCTTTCAGCACAATGAAGCTATTTGTTCTCAAGCATTATAACAAGCCATCCTTGTTGGAGGGTAAATGAGCAGATGAATTGTCGATTTAAATAACAAATGTGTCAAATGGCTTGTTTGATCAGATACCTTTGAAGTTACCTTAGCAGGAATGTTATCTAGACTACTTAGGGTTTCCATGTGCAGAAATGGCTTTTATGAGAGTGGAGTAGAAAATAAATGGCAAGGAAAAGGATAGTTTTCCACAAATGTTAGATTTTCAACTTGAAGCCCCTGTGGCATCAGCTGCTTATAGCCTCGTTCTGTTCATTCATTTAACAAAAATCTAATTAGAGCCTACCAGAAGATTGGGCAATCTACTTCTATGGTGAACTGCCTCAGAAACCCAAGGAGGGGTCACTATGAGTAGGATCCGACTTGAAGACAGTGAGTTTCATTTTTGTGGTTTGATGTATTAAGCCCTCTGCTAGAGGCTGAAGTGGCAAAGATGAATAAAGTACTATATTGTCTTTGAATAGATCACAATTTTCTAAGGGAGGCCAACACTTGTATAATTTCTGGTCAGTAAATAAGTTCTAAAACAAAGAAATGTAGAAAGTACTATGGAAACACAGGGTGCAAATAACTGCCTGTAGGGCTTTGAAATGACTTTTGAACAGGGTTCTAAAGGAAAGATGAAAGAAGTTTGTCATGCAAAGGAGAAGATACTTAATTCTTAAGAACTGTACTTTCAGCTAATATAGCCCATGGTCACTGACTTATGTTTGTAGGCATCAGCCATAATTCCAAATATTTGCTATAGAAGGAATTTCAGAGTTTCTTCATGCTATACATTTCAAATACTTTTTGGCAGTGGTATTTTTAAAAATTAATCCTTCATTGCAATTTATGAGTCTCCTTTGAGTATAAGTGGAATTGAGCTAGGCAGGGAATCAGGCTAGCCAGATCAACTGTACTTTTCAGTACAGTGGCCACTACCACAGAGAACTATTTAAATTTAAAAAGTTAAAAATTGGGCATCTCTGTCACATGACCTACATTTCAAGTGCTCTGTACCTGCCTGTGACTAGTGGCTACCTTCTTAGCTAGCTCAGATGTAGAACATCCCCACCATCATAGGAAATTCTATTGGATAGAATATAAACAAAGAAGTATTAAATGAAATGTTACATAAATATCTAATTTTAAAATGAGTCAATCTATTTTAATTTACATAATACTTTATTGAGTTTTTGGTGAAGGTTTACATAGCAAGTTAAATTCCACACAAGTTGTTTAGTGACATTATTTACATTTATCACAATATCAGTATTCTTTTTAATTATGTTCAGTTTGTTCCCATTCCAGTACTTTAGTTTCCCTCTCCCCTTATAACTCATTTTTACTTTTGAGTAATTGTTGGCATTTTAGTCTCATTGTTGTGTTGTTAGATGCCACTGAGGTGGCTCTGACTCATAGCAACCCCATGCACAGCAAAACCAAACACTGCCCAACCTTGCATCATCCCCATAGTCATTCCTGTGTTTGAACCCTTTCTTGCAGCCACTGTGTCCATCCATCTCATTGAGGCTTCCTCTTTTACACTGACACATTTAAAAAAAAAAAAAAAATTCACTGCACTCAAGTCAATTCTGACACATAGAGACCCACGTTGGGTTTCCAAGGCTGTAAATCTTTATAGAAGTTAATTGCCTCATCTTCCTCCCACAGAGCAACTGGTGGGTTTAAATAGCTGAACTTCTTGTTATTAACCAAATACTTTACCCACTACACCATAAGAGACCCTCTACTCTACCAAGCATAATATCCTTCTCCAGGGATTGGTCCCTCCTAATAACATATCCAGAGTACCTGAGATGAAATCTTGTCATCCTTGCTTCTAAGGAGAATTCTGGCTGAACTTCTTCCAAGACAGATTTGTTCGTTCTGTCAGTTCATGGCATATTCCATATTCTTCACCAAGACTGTAATTCAAGGGCATCAATTCTTCCTAGGTCTTCCTTGTTCATTGTTCAGTTTTTGTATGCACATGAAAAAACTAAAAAAACAAATTCACTACCATAGAGTTAGATCTGACTCATATGAAACTATTGAAAATACCATGGCTTGGATCAGGTGCACCTTAGTCTTCAAAGTGACATCTTTGCTTTTAAAAGCTTCAGGTATATCTTTTGCAGCATTTACCAATGAAATTTGATTTCTTGACTACTGCTGCGTCTCTATGGATATTGATTGTGGATCCAAGTAAAATGAAATCCTTGGCAACTTCAGTATTTTCTCCATTTATCATAGTAACGTTTGTTGGTCTAGTTGTGAGAATTTTTGTTTTCTTTATGTTGAGATGTAATCCATACTGAAGACTGTAGTCTTTAATCCTCTTCAGTAAGTGCTTCAAGGCTCAGAAACAAATCTGGACAGTAGTCATATAAAACCAACAACTTTGACTTTTCACTTTATACTTCACATAATTTTTTAAAATTTTAAAAATTACTACATGGTTGACATGGAAACTATTTTATTCTACATGTATTTCCCCAAATAAAAACAAAGTTACACAAAATGACTTGAATCTTGTACTGTAATCTATATCATTCAGTTAAGAGAGAATTCTAATAATTGTCTGAAAATATTGAAGCCTATATAGTTAGGCTTTTGTTGGTGGTTTTAGAAAATTATGCTTGTGGTCTTTAAGGAAAGTTATAAGCTAATATAGCCCGTGGTCACTGACTTATGTTTGTAGGCATCAGTCATAATTCCAAATATTTGCCATAGAAGGAATTTCAGAGTTTCTTCATGCTATCAATTTCAAATACTTTTTGGCAGTGGTATTTTTAAAAATTAATCCTTCATTGAAATTTATGAGACTGTTCTGAGTATAAGTGGAATTGAGATAGGTAGGGAGAGAATCAGGCTAGCAAGGTCAGACAGGCCCTTGACTCAATGCTCTTGAAATTTAAGCCTACGTGCAGACCATCACATAGTTCTGGCCACTGGCATCAGAGAACAGATTAGCTAGCACGACAGCTGCTTGGGTGAGATAAAGAGGCCACAAATTAAAGGACCCTAAGCTTGACCAGGGAGCTCTGGTAGCATAGTGGCTAAGACACTTGCCTGCTAACCAGATGGCTGGCGGTTCAAACCCACCAGCCACTCCTCAGAAGGAAGGTTGGGCAATCCTACTTCCATAGTGATACTGCCTCAGAAACCCAAGGAGGGGTCGCTATGAGTCGGGTCTGACTCAATGGCACATAACAACAACAACAACAACAAGGAGGGTCACTATGAGTCGGGTGCGACTCAATGGCGCACAACAACAACAACAACAACAACAGTGCCACTCTGACAGGAATATACCACAAATGGGATGGCTTGAACAGCAGGAGTTTATTCTTACAATTTGGAGGCTTTAAGTCCAAGTTCAAAGTGCCAGGCACTAGGGGTAGGGTGAAAGCCCTTCAACCTTGGGTTGTAGCTCTGCCTTCTGCTCCTGGCCCACTGAAGCTGGAGGCTTTTCCTCACTCAGCTGCTGGCTGCCGAGGCTGACAAACCCAAGGCTGACAAGTAAAAAGGCACAGTCCTGATGTTACCAAACCACATGGCAGGCCATTAATTCAAGTCCATTGAAAGTCCCAAGGTCAGCAGAGCATGGCAGGCTGTTAAACAATGACATGGCTACAGGTAGGGTCCAAGCATGCCATAAGCTGGAGACCGTTCCCAAAACTGCTACTTATACAGGAAGCAGAACACATACCCAAAGGCAACTACTCAGCTGCTCACAGTAGATTCCACTATAGAGTTGATTACCAGTCTCATCATGGGGAATACTACATCCAGCTGCCCAGCTACTCAACCAGGCCTAGTCAAGTTGACATACAACTTTAACTACCACACAGCTATAGACTGCAAAAAGTCTGTTAACCTAAACCAATGGCTTTTAAACTTGCAATACAACAAGAAAAGGATATCAGAGATAGTTAGGATTGAAGTAGAAACAAATCTATCATTATTTGCAGATAATATATTCATAAAGGAAGTCCTAAAGAATCTGCAGAAAAATTACTAGGAATAATTGGAAAGGTTAGCAAGGTGATATTTTTGTACCAGCACCAGGCCAGAAAACTAAATTAAAGAGAAGATGCCATTGATAATAGCATCATGGACTATCGGTAATTAAGTGTCACACTAATAGATAGTGTACAATACTTTTATAGGGGAAAATTATTAAACATTATTGAGAGACTATTAACTAAAAGAATATCCATCTTAAAAATAAGATTGGGACTGAGATGGTGTTGTACCTGTAGCCCACATATTTGTCGCACTAGCATCTTAATTCCTGAAAAACTAGGTGCAGCAGTTTGAAGCAGGGATTCTGGGGCTGTGAACAGCTCATTAAGTTAGAGAAGGCCAGATTTAGTGGAGATGAAAAAAAAAAAAAAAAAAAAAAGGCAGAGTAAACAGCCAGGAAAAATAATATCTGTGATGACATGAAAAGAAACAAAGATGCCTCATTGGAATACCAGAACAAGAGGAGGCAAAAAAAAAAAAAAAAAAAAATCCCTGAGAAAATTGTGGAAAACTTGCTAACAGAAAATTTCCCCTATATCATGAAGGAAGAAAAGATATTTGTCCAAGAAGCTCAATGAACCCTATAAAAGGTAGATCCCAAGAGAAAGTCACCAAAACATATCATAATCAAACTCTCCAAAACCAAAGACAGAGAAAGACTCTTGTGAGCAGCCCAGGAAAAAAGAAATGTCACCTACAGTGGACAAGCAATTAGACTCAGTTATGATTACTCAACAGAAACCATGCAGGCAAGAAGGCAATGGGACAGCATATACAAAACACTGAAGAAAAAGAACTTTCAACCAAGAATTCTATATCCAGCCAAACTGTCCATCAAATATGAGAGTGAAATCAAGACATTCTCAGAAATTGAGGAGTTTTGTGAAAACCAGACCAACCCTACAA